GCTGATATCAAGCGCCATAAAACTCAAGAACCAGAAAAAAGCCCTGGATGTAGTAAGATAAATTAAAATGAGAACGAGCGAAACTTAGTAACTAAGTACCTAGTAAATACTGTTGTAGCCTTTGCACGCAAATGATACAGTAAAGAAAAATAAAACCATGTTTTGTTTTATATCAACATACCTTCAGGTTTCTAGTTCAGTCTAAGCTAAATGTTACATTTCTCTCCGCTCGTATGCGAGTCGGAATCCGACTATAAAGATCTAAAAACTAAACGTTTTGGATTTAGGGTAGGTGAGTTTTAAGTCACAGTGCACCTGGTTTGATTACTGGGAATTACAGTTATATTTCTATTCGTTGTTCTAGTTTATTTGCGCTATCTTTACATACGAGAAGAAAAAAAAAACATTTAAGCAATTTCACTTCCAAAATCTCCCTTTAACGGTCTCCTTTTCAAAACTTGAAGCTGCCAAGTTAACTTTCGCAGGTTAAACACACTGCATTGCGTTTGGGATGTTATGTACAGCAACATGGTTGATAAAACTAAACTGAAAAAGCATTTGTGTTAGCCGTTTTCCATTCGAAAACAAAAAATAATAATTGCTTATGTATCCTCACCTGTAAAACAAGAGTTTTTTTCTATAAAACAAACCATTTAAAATGTGACTGCTGTAATTTTTAATTTTTCGGTTTAAAATTTGTAAAATGATGAGAAAGGTAAGAGGACGCTAAATGATCCGACTTTATTTCATGTGACTATTTTAGAAACCGCTCCACCAGAACAATCAACTAATTTCATCAGTTTCCCTACGGGATTAATAAAGTATTATCTATCTATTAGTTAATTGACGCGATTTTTCGGGACTTTTATAGTCTGAAAATTATTTAAATTCATGTTTGACCTTTTTCTGTTTAAAGTTATAGACGTTACAACGCGATAGATGCTGCCATTGTATAAACTGTAAACGCTGTGATCGTTTAATTCATCGTTTAACTTTCTTCTTTATCTTTAGATGTAGGTTTAACAGTCTTGTTTCCCACTTGCTTCTCCTAATTTAAACAGCCTTAAAATCGATATTTTTTGCGAAAAGTAATATAAATAATCAAATAATTCTAAGAAACATGAATATTTAGGTTATCGTGTGCAAGACATTTTTTTCCATAAAATATTTGAAAAAGCAAAAGGTCGCACCCAAAACGTTAATCACACAACCACGAAGCCTGGTCGGTCTGTTCGCTGTAGCTTGTAGTATTGTTTGGTTGGTTTTATTTGTTTTTAATTTCGCGACTTTACCCGGCGTTTTCAATAACGCGTTTATAATAATCTTCGATCTTGCAATCTACCTAATTTGATTTAAAACGGTCTGGGTGTATTCTCATTTAATTTAATAATCAAGACGTCAGCCATGTATTAGTCACGTATTAGTACTCTTTTACTGAAACACGGCTTGTTACTGTATGAGCTGTTAAGCAATTGATAGCCATTATTAACAGTTATTATAAATGATTTAATACTGAAGTGTTATGCCTGATGCGTTCTTAAAAGTGAAGTTATGATGGGTATTATGAAGTTATTACTGGCGATGAAAGGTATTAATTTCTTAGCCGAACTTTATAAAGCCGTTGCCTGTCATGTGCGAAGTGCGATTTATCAGCACTTACAGGCGACTGCTGGAAAAAAGTTCAACTAGATCCTCTGAGCAGAAATACAAATGTATTCCCGTGTTGTTTGTGCGATCGCGTCGAGAAACTAAAACCGCGGCCTTTTACAACAGGGAGTTTGCTTGAACTGTTCGCGTGAATTAATGGTTAAAACGTTTCTGAACAGGGTAATTTCAAGTCTAGTTTATTACAGCTTGTTGAGTGTTAATTAAGTTCCTAGCCTCTCTTCATACTTAGCTGGATAACTGTGTCTACCGGGTGATCAGGTGCCTGTAAGGCGTTAATAGTAGTTCATACCTAACCTCTTTTTTTCCAGGTGACACTTAAAATGTTTTTTTTTTTCCAAAAGCAGATTCTTACCCTTAATGCTATTTTTAATGGTGCATTAATCTTTCCTGTTAGAAAATGTTTTACTGGAGCACCTCATTCTAGACTAAAACAGCAAGGTTAACAACTGAGACTTGAACCAAGTACTGTTTGGGACAGGCAGTGATAAGCACTGCCCTCCGGATTGGAGGAGTATTGCTCACACAAAAAAAAGTTAGCATGGTTTTGCAAGGAGTGTGATCACTAAGCTAGAGCACTGTTAATTCTTTCTTTTTGATGGCGGATCAGTTTCGTTACTGTCCACGTTAACTACCAACTTCCTAGTGAACTCAGTTCCTCTATTAAGTTCTTCATGTTCACTATCATGCCTTCCCGGTATGAATAATGAGGGTGATGCACTCCCACATGTAGATGCTTGTCGACAAGTCCAGAAGAAGCAGCTC